GCCCTGGGTGTACGCAGTCTTCATGGCCAATCAGCAGCCGGAGACTGTTATTCCACAGCAGGAACAAACAAGCATTCTGAATAGGGACAATACGCAATGGTTGCCAGAAAAACACGCCCAGCGCAAAAAGAAGGTGGTAGCCCTAATTTCGAACTTGCACCCCAAGAATAAAAGGAACGAGTATATTGCTTAACTCGCAAAACATATTGACGTATGTGCGTGCAATATTTGATTTTCTAACATCTAGATACATTTTTTATTTTTAGTAGAAAGTGGTTTGATTTTGAGATATATTTTATCTATATTTTTGCAAGAAGTGTGAAGCATAATAACACATTGGCCCGTATCACTGGCCACCATGTGCTACAGAAGGGTCAACCCTGGAGTGGTAACCTGCGCACAAATAAGTTTAAAATTAAAGCAAGTTTGCCCGACTAACGTTGCATTATCTCACCACTCGCCACCACATGTTTATGAGAAGGAGGAGTTTAAGGGTGGTCGTGAATGATAGGCAGTGTTCGTATGACAGCTTTTGGCAGCAAACCAAAAAGTGACTTTCGTAATTCGTGTTCTTTCGTTTCTTGATCGGCAGTGCATGATAAATGGTGACGTCAATACTGGTGCACGGTCGTCCCTTTATCCTGGGCTGCTTCATTACATCGTAAGCATCATGTAAGCAATGATCTGTGCTACACGTAGATACAAGCATTTTAAAATGCTTCTTTTCCTTTGCTTCCTTTCCTTTTCTTTCCATTCCTTCTTTCAGCCTTTTTGCCCTTTCACCTTATCTGTTCGTCAGGCTTGTGGTCAGTAACGTCCATTCGTCAATATTTGTATCGAAACACCAAATGTATGCTTTGTTCTAGTTGAAGCCTGACGTTTGTGGGGATAATTTGTACGTCATTCATTCCCACAACTGCACTCAAATTTCAGCCTGATCTAAAGCTAATAATCAGGAATAAACATATGATCTAAGTTCGTACCAAATGTAATATTCGTTAAAAGGAAACTGGACTCAACAGTCAGGCACGCACTCTGATGTGGTAAAATGGTATACTATGCATGGGTAAGGAGGGTAAAATCAATTCAAACATATATACTAAAGCTGGGAAATCGGCATTTCAAAGAGTTTAATTCGGTAGTAGGAGTTCCTTGGCAAACAGTGGTTCACTGTGTAAATTTTGGCACTGGCACACTAGGTCGTCGTCAGATGGATGGAAATTTTATAAAACAGTTAACTCAAAATGATGGCTAGCAGGAGCTTATATAGTGAGTAAGGTGCTACTCCATAATCGGTACCTACATGTGGTTGTGCGGTCATTAGGGAAATATTTGTCACCCGCATGTAATTATGCGGTCGGTCGGGAAATAATTGTCGACCGCAATTATTCGTGCGGTCGATGATGGCAGGTTTTCGCTTCATCTTGTACGGATAGGCTTTCGTCTCCTCCATGCTTCTCTAACGTTGGTGTTTCTCAGGGGTCTGTTGATGCACGAGTCGTCGGAGTTGATGGGATCTATAAACTCGCGGCCTTTATTGTATGGACATGAACAATCAATGCAAGTTATGCCCCATGTACTTATGTGTCCAGTTTCTTATGTATGCATGGCGACTTCAGAAAAGTGATATCGTCCCTTTACTGCTCGTTGATGTTCACGTAATCGTGTGGAGGCGGATCGTCCTGTCTGTCCGCAATAAACTGCAACTGATCAAAGGGATCTTGTAAATGACATCTTTTCTGTCCATATAGCCAACACTATACTTAGGGTATACAAGCTGATTTCGAAGAGTATTCGCTAGTTTGTGCGCCACCTAGATTTGACACTTCCCAGGATGTCTTTAAACGAGTTCACACATGTTCTTCAAATATGGAAGTGTTCGCCAACTTCTTTGATTGGGCGCCTGATCGAAACAACCTAATTCCTTTTATTATTGTTCTTACTGTTGTCGTTGTATGCATCGACGCTTAAAGTGCCTGGGGTAACAATTTTTTGAAAACTGTGTGAAAAAGTTATGTAATTCGGTTCGGGAGAGTTCGGGGCTAGAAAAAGGTGTTTTTGCCCGATTGATTAGGGTGGTAATAGCACTCCGTTTGTAAGAAACAGGGCGGTTGCTCTCGTTATGTAGTAGAACATCCGCGTGTGCTTTTTTAAGGTAAACTGATGTTAGGAGTGTTCCGTCAGTATTCGGCTGTATGAGGACGTCGGCAATCGGGAGTTTACTGTCCACTTCCTTTTCAAGCGTGAACGTGATGCCTGGCATCGCTGAGTTTATATCGTTTTGCAGTGTCTCGAGTTGGGCCCTTCTGAAAATGACGAACGTGTTATCAACGTATCGTACCCTTAACTTGGGGTTAAATTATGTCAGAGCCATCGCCTCTAATTTTTGCATTGTGACATATATAAAAGCGTTATAACAGCTGCAGTATAGTGAAGCCTTTTTGGTGCATGGTTGATTCCGGTTAACCTATCAAATATGTATCGGAAGCAGAGCTTTAATATAACTAAATGAACTTCGATGAGAAACATAAAGCACTACGTAAAGATTTTTGCAGGTGACTTTCCATGTTATATAATTATCTATTTTACAAGTGACTAGTTAGACGACATATGTTTCCCAAAGATAAAGAAAAACGACCCTCATTCATCCTAACAAACAAGAAGCATTACATCCAACATCACTGTGAATAACAAAAGGAAATTATATACGAAGACGATGGTCTTCTATGCAATTCCCTTAAGTCCTCATAGCAAATTCTCTTCCACCTTTGCCAGCTTTTACATTGGCTTCTTTTTCGCTTAGAAATGAAAACCAATTAAAAATAAGATAGGTTTCATGGTTCTTACCCTTAGGCAGAAACTATGCACTTATTGTCTCTCTCTTTTAAAGAAGAGGACATTATTACGGTTTTGTTAAACCGCATATATTATTTGCATAAGCGAATCCGTATTGGAATTTTTTCGTCAGCGAACGGTTCAATGCGTTCAAAGTTATCTCTGGAAATTGTTTTTAACTTTTCTTGCCCTTTATTTCAGGTTGATCTTTACGGCCGAAGTCAGCGAAATTGCTCACGCGACGATGAAACCTGTCTGCGAAATGTATCGCTGCAGTATAAATATTTCCTTGCATTTGAAAATTCCAATTGTGTGTACTATATCACGGCAAAGCTCTTCAGAAACGCATTTCTGTGAGCCTTAATACAAAACTAGTGTTTATTAATGAACCTTCGACAATTCCGCAAAGTGAAGTATGTTTTACAAACAATTTCTGGGTGCTTTAGAAGGAAACTTGGAATTTCCAAAAACATGGAGTTTCTCTTCGAGAAACCACAGTAATGCTTCTCCACCCACTATTATAATTATTTTACCTAGTAATCTTGGGCAATCCGGATACAGTTCAGTATTTTTTGGATAGTAGGCAATGCCTTTGAAGACTATAGTGAAAACAGTATGCATAAAATATCAAACAAAAAATATTGAGTAATATATACATGTACAAATTTTAGTTGTAGGTAAGTCCAATGTGTCCGTGAGCATTCAGTGCTTTCTTGTATGCATTATATATCCAAAATAAAATATGTTGCTATAAAATAGTGTGTAACATATAAATATGTGTAAGTTTTATCTAAAGGTTTGACCAATACGTAGGTGACTACTGACGGTGCTTTCTTGTACAAATGAACGGTACCTTTTAAGTAAATATCCATCCAGTTTACGTTTGAATGCATCTGTGGAGTTCGCCATTACGACCTCCTCGGGCAGTCCGTTCCAGGTACCGATGACTCGTTGTGAGAACGAATGTCTGCGGACATCCAAAAGGGTAAAGGTTCCTCGGAGTTTGAGAGAATTACCCCGGAGTTTAGTTGATGTGGCAAACGTAAAGAAGTCATCAAACTGAAGGGCACAATGCCGTTACCTCACGATCTTGTACGTCTATATGAGACCATCTCGGATTTGCCTGTACTCTTTTAGCAATGACGCAGAAGTTAACGGGCTAAGTATGAAATCGAAAATAAGCGCATGACAGATAGAACGTCACGTAGGGATTGCAACGATAAAACAGTTGGAAAAATCAAACGATAATAAATGCAACTTTGCAAGTTTTACCTCCCTTTTTAAATAAAATTGATTTTAGACGAATATAGGCTTTTTTTGAACACATGTAAAACTCACTCTAAATGGAAGAATCATTACCCACTTACTTTCACAAAAATAAATGCGTATACGACAGGAGTACGGTATGATAGGTGGCAACAAATACTTGCCTCTAAAGAATGCGCTCTAAATGCATCGAAATCATTACTTAGAAAATTTTTCAGCATCTTACACGTAACCCCAGCACAATTTTTAATTACCTTGATTAGCCGACCCTATTTCGAAAATTCAACAGGTGCGATATGGTCCCCGTGGTGATGGGCACTCAACGAGAAGTCTACTGCGCTGTAGCGCCTCCAAATTTCTTCATACATCTGGACGATTTTTCGTCTCCTGCCAAGCTAGGCTATTATCTATATTGCCTTGACCGAAATGACACCGCCTACGCTTCCTACTTTGCGTGGAAAGCCTACGAAAAAGTTGTGGTGAGATCATACGTGATTGTCTTTTATAGTATTTATTTACCCAGTCTCGTTTGATAAAATGGTACATATGAAAACGTAATCAGCATATCAAGATGCATAATTAAATACCAGTTAGGGTTTGCGAACCGTTAGGGAACAGCTCATCAAAAAATCAGCATGCAGACTCAAAATACTTCACAGTAGCATGCACGATAATCATTATTGCAATGCTAGTTAATGTTCGTCTGTGATTACTAATCAGTATTTAGCAAATTGCAGAATGTTGCATGCGTCAGAAGGGCAGAACGGTATACACACAGATGATTGCGTACCTGATGAAATTTGAAGATAAACATTTGAGTGGGTAATATATCCCGCATTTCAGGTTGTTTATTTTGTACACTAAGTGGATTTATGGTGCAAAATGATGTTAAGTAGCAGCGAGTTCTGTTCAGCTAAGTAAATAAGGGGTAAAACGAGGCCAAGTGGGGCCAATTTCAACGTTCGTTTCAATCCAATGAATGTAAATGTTACGCTATAAAAGAGCATTGAAAAAAAGCGAAGACGTTTCACTTATATATGTCGAGAGAACAAACAATTTTGTTTTGCTTTCATGAAATTGAGGTCAGTGCAATTATGTGATAGTAAATTATCTTGAGGTAAGGAAGAGTAAAATAAGTTTAAAAGTGCAATTTTTTAAATCTCCCAAGTGTCGCGCCATCAAATTGAAAGAAAGACCTATAATGCTGTTATTTGCCGTAATTCAGCTTTAAAGTTTACTGTTTATTTTAAGGGTTGTAGGCAAGAAATGCCCTTGAGGACCCAATTTGTATAAACTAAACAAACAAATTGCACAGTCAATACGAATTTTCCCAACGTTTACATACTTTAGATTTTGGTGATTTGTTGCGGGGTATTGTGAAACAGTTTTTTTCAAAATCGCCGTTGATACTATTGAAACTCTGCTCTGCAATGGTTATTGTGGAACTCAGTGTATAAGTTACCAAATACACTGAAAACTCTTCCGGTTAACAGAAAAGTAATCTCATTCGTTTATAAAAGGAGATGAAACCCACTTATTAGAAAAATCAAAAACTTGCCAAAATTACCCATTCTGAATTGAATTGAACCCGCGCGGTTTGAATTTTCGAGCAAAAAGAAGGCAACATAAATTCAAGTTTTACATTGAAATAAATTGTCGAAAGACAAAAATTGGATC